AGTACAACAGAAAGCTCCGATGATTCAGATTTTTAAAAAAAGAGTTACGGAAATATAAGAGTTATAAGATTAATTTTTTTTAATTTTTTTAATTTGCTTAAATGTTTAATTAATATGTAATAGACAATCAATTACTTGAATAAAATCTAATAAAATTTTTAAATAATACTTTCGCAATAAAATTTTCTTTTACTTAAGTCACCTTGGTTTTATTTTTTTATTTTTTAAATTCATATTAAATATCGACGTTCTAATTAGCAAATTATCTAACTCCATTTTAGAGAATCTTTTATTTGTACGAAAAAAACAATGACTTCAAAATTTATTATCATTTTAAAAAACCATTTAATATCATTAATATCTAATAGAGATATAATTTTTAAGTTTGAATCATTCAAATAATTTGTAATTGGATAATGTCTTCATCAAAATGTTAAAAAAATCACCCTCTAAAAATAAGGAGTTAGACAAATTGCTAACTAGACCGTCGATATATCAAATCAATATTAATTTTTTGTTGCAATTTTTAAATTTGTCATTTTGAAAAAAATTACATATTTTTTGGAGTATTTATTATAAGTCGTCTCTATTACTCCCTGGTGGTTGAGAACACTAACGTTCGACGCATGTGCAATGGCTTAAAAGCGTCGCACAGCCGACAATCGCTGTCCTCGTCTGACAAATGATGTTACGCGCTAACTCTCTTTCACTCTACCTTAAATATTTATTATCTTTAACAGCCAGTAGCCCTTATTTGCGGCCAGATTTAATTAAGCAACTTTATATGATAATTAATAGAAAAAAATTAGCTTCAATTTGACATATAATTAATAAAAATAGGTTATAAACGTATAAATTTATCGAAATCATACCTGTTTACACCTGGCTGCAAAGAGGTGCGGCCATGTGCGCAACGGCACCCATGATTTTTTAGAATCTTCATATTAATTACCGTGATGTAGACGTTATTTTATTTAAATAATAAATGAACGCAATTTTTTACCAAAAATCAATTAAAAATAATTTAATTAAAAATAATGGCGGCCAAATTTTGATAGGCACCCTAGTAAATATATATTCTCTTAATTATAAATAAACATAAAAATTTGGTTTTAAACAAATAGTCGATGAGCGCACCAATCCTGCAGCGGGATCTTAGACCATAGGGAGCATGCATTTGATAACATTTGGCAAAATATTTAAATGCCCACGAACAATAATTTTGCATTCATAATTGTATGAAAAACCATAGTTTTGCGTGCACTGTATAATGTTTAATATAAATACTAGCGAACCCGACACTTTGTCCTGCATGATATTTCTAGCGATTAGGATATGAAATATCTCATCTCAAATTAAACAAAGTATGAAAGTACCAACTGCAGTGCCATCAGCCGGGCTGATTTGTATAATATCTAAACCATTCAGGGCGCCACCCAAACGCATACAAATAATTCAAATCATTCAAATCGGTCCAGCTGTTTAAGAGGACTTCAGTGACAAACACACATACAATAGAAGTATATTTATAAAAATTTACGCAAAAGAATTATTTTCTTCATTATGTAGGTACTTTTTATTAAGGCAATTAAATTCCCCAGCGGGATCTCCTAAACAAATTTCAACTTAGTCTTCTTTGACTTTACTTACTTTTATATCCTTCCGGTTATCTGTTTATATATTGTAATTGTTTTAAATAATTACTGCTTTCCAGGCATGGAACATTATTATCATTACAGAAAATGTTTTCTTGAGGATTAAAAAAGAGAATGTTGCCAAATGATACAATAACCAAAGCTTAAAAGAAACCTTTCGAGTAATAAGCTACTTCATTTTATACAGCTGTTTTTTTTTAATTTCCATGCAATTTGCTGAAACTACATTCATAAATAAACGTATCATATATAAACCACAATAAAGAAGGTTGATAAAACTGGCTCATAAAGTTTATTATTTCGCGTAAGGGATTTTACCCGTAGTAATAAGGAAACATACGAAGCGGTAATAATTAATCTTTGTTTTAGAAAGCTGCAGCGAATAGCTTTTAGCTTGCTGAAATTAAACGCTTTTGTAATTGTACAAGCGCGATTTTTTTGTGGTTCAGTGATTTTACGAAACTGTTGAAATATTTTTGTTTACACATTATTTTGATTACGAGTAGGTATATGGTCAAAGCACGCTACCAGTATATTTAAATAAATTAATTAATACAAATTTAAAAATCATTTATTCACGTAGGTAACACAATGTATACTTGTGATTCGTCATTAAAGAAATACATATTAATGCTTCTAATTTTACATTTACTGCCAGTTCTCAAATCAAGGGCGTAGAACGGAAGAGAAGAACTGGCAATAAACTCTCCGCCACTCTTTTTAATCGCCATGTTTTTTTTACACAACGTTTGTAAGGAGCTGCAACCATTTCACCATGTTCCACATGACATGTGATCAATGTTTCGAAGTAATAAGACACTTGTGCAATAATCATGGGGTAAGCTCTATGCCTGACTATTGACGCTGATTACATTAATTATATTAAAGGCGGTAATTTTAGATCCATACAAAAAGTAAACTCTCAAATGCGTGTTAATGAAACATAAAATGAAAAGCGAAAAAACAAAAAATGAAAAACATAGATAATTATTGAGTGCCCTTTTGGTATTAATGACTGTTTTATTAGTAAAAAAAATATAGTTTAAATGTATTGCCGCTTGGTTAAATTTATGGAAATGAATGTATTTGGTTAGTGAATAAAGGCTTTTATTATTATTTTTACTGCATTCGTGTTATGTTTGAATCCCCCAACAAGAGTCAAGTTGGGCCCTACGCTCTTCTAGGCCTACATGCTTTATGGTTTGTAGGCACGGACGATCACCAACAAAAAAAGTATCATTGGAACTAAGTTTACCCGGTTTCTTGGTGGCCAAGGTAGAAATTCAATAGCCCATTCACCGCATATGTTTGACTTTACTCTGCTCTAATATAGAGAGCCCAATGAGCTTAATCCTTAATTCACCAAAATCATACATGGCGGAGTCGCATACCTTGAACGTATCTGTCTCAATTTTTAATATAAAGTTTAGTTTTAACAATCCTACAATTTTAATATACATTGACTGCATTGTTGGTCACATGCTTAATACATTCAACCATGTTAAGCTAATTATAAAACACTAGTGGACCCCACAGACGTTGTCCTGCATGATATTTAAAGCGATTAGGATATTAAGCAAAGTATGAAAGTACCGACTGCAGTGCCATCTGCCGGGCTGATTTGTGAATCTAAACCATTCCCAGATCCCCTTGAACACACACAAAAAATTTCATCAAAATCGGTCCAGTCGTTTGAGAGAAGTTCAGTGACATACACACTCACAGAAGAATTATATATATTAAGATTTATTAATTGCACTTCCCTTATTGAATATTACTCGATGAATGAATTTCAATTAACTATGCTTTCAATTATGAGAGCCAGATAATGACACAGCGCCTGAATAATGGATGGACGTTGATAGGTTTCTGTACGGGTCGTGCTACATCATAATGTGTTATTGAGGTTTTAGAGTAGGTATTATTTAGACATAGACATAACATTTATAACTAACGAAACACACAAGAAAATAATAATCAAAAAAGGAAAATAACAAAAAAATTATTAAAAAAAAGAAATAAAGAACATTTTAATTGTGTAATGTGTGTGTGTTGTGGTTGTAACTGGCACTGGCTCAGCATTATGCTGTGTTGGAGACGTGTGCCACAACAGTATACATACACATAGTACATATACATAGTATACATATGCATATTTACACAATATGTATGTATGGATTCACGGATTATATGTAGGAATATATACATACTGTTAATAATTAGGTTTACTTAGATTTTTGGCATTCAAACCTAAACATTACTATCTTCATTTTCTCAAACAGTTCTGTTGATGAGTATTGTTGAAAATATTATCTGACTTAAGTGTACCTTAAGGGTTTGAATGAATTTAGATAGGACGTCAATATCCGTAAATTAGATAATAGAACCGAATTTATTAAACGTTCTTCTGTCGCATATTGATTGTGTTACTTCAAAGTTATACACATAATTAAAGATATTATCGGAGCAATATTTTATTCAAACATAAAACTGTATATATTCACTCTTATTAATAAAAAATAAATTAGTTTAATTGCACAGGTTTTACTAGAATACTCTTCTCTCTCATTACAACACAATTAAACAGAAAGAGAAGAAAAATTATTTCAGTTGAATTTAAATAGACTGATGTAAATGTATAAATAAGAGAGTTATTGTTGAATGGAAATCTGTCATCATACTAAAATTCAAACGTGTACACTTTGTTACTCAGAACATCTTTGATTATAATAAATAACGCATATAAGGAGTACATTGATTGCTTTTGTTTAAAAATATATATGTTGTGTCTCGATCTGTATCATAAATAATAATATTTCAAGAAATAGCCAATTAAAAAACTACGATCGAATCGTGATTTCTGACTTTTGAGTCCCTACACTGGTAGTATTTATTTGATTTTTTTTCTATACTGAACTAGACATATATTTTCCACAATCCCTGATGTTAAGTCAGATGCCTATTGGAAGGCACGCCTGTCCAGGAGATACCTATTTAACCGCTGGTTAAATGAGCCCATATTATACAGTCCAGAGAAGATGGAAGGCAGTTTGGAGTTCCACTCCCATGCTTTTGCTTGTTATAAATGTTCCTATATGTAAGAATAAAATACACATTACATAAATAACTTCGATAATTTCAAAATTACAAAAGTTTGTAGTAAAATTCACCTGTTCATTACGAAAGCGCTGTTAAATTGTTGTTTTAACCTTATCGAACAATGGCGTATTGTGTAAAAAGTATATAAAACATTTCGAACCATAATCGAGAATCGTTTCCGAGAGCGGCTTTCAGTTGATTGCCTTACACTGTGACATGATGCTTTATATATAAAACACAAGGAAAATGAAATGTAAGTTGTCTTTGTATTGATTGGTACAAATATAGAAACTGATTAAATACCTCTTGTAATAATAATTGATAAGACATGTATAACACAGTTATAGATGTATAATGTAGGCTTTGCTATATGCGTATTTAAATTTTAATCATATTTGTTTTCTATAATATATGACATAAGTACCTATAGCCAAATAATAATAGTACCTGAGTTTAAAATAACGACGCATTTGACTTTAAAATTCACAATAATACCAATATTTTTAATAAATCTCTGTGGGTTACTAAAAGCAATTGGTATGCTTGAATCTAAAGGTACAGAGTTTGGTTCCCGGCAAAAATGTTTCTGGCTTAAAGTCACAATTATTACAATAACAAATTGTGTGCTAGTCAGGGAGTATCCCATAATTTCCTTCACAAAAAATTGTGTAAGTTGAAGGTAATACTTACTACGTATACGTATATATTATTACGTAAACATATAATTTATTGTGGCATAAATCTAAAAATATCCAAGTAAGTATCCGGTTTATTTTCTCGCTTAACAAAAACAAATCGCTTACATTACAGCAAATCATTTTGCAGCATTCCTCGTAGCCATCTCATTTATCTTGTCAGCGGATGGCTACAAGAATAAATTCTTGTCGCAAAACATAGATTCGGAGCCCTCTCTATCAACTCTCTACGCGCGCGACAAAAGAAGTGACTTAGTAACAAACGAGTGTCTTATGGAGATGTACCCTAAAAGCCTTTACAAGTATCCTTTACATATTGACCGGAACGATGTACCGTGTATCATACATTGTGTGTTGAAGAAATTCGGTATTATGACAAACGATGGCGTCATAAACATACACAACTATTACCGACGGGTTCAGGCCATACACAGATATGATCCGAGGGTTTTGATATCCGATGTTGGGGAGACCTGTGCACAGAATATTAATGGAATGAATTTAGATCACGATGTGTGTAAAAAGGCTAAAGTGTTTAACGATTGTACGCAATTATATGTTATATCGTTTCGAGATGGTGATTGAGTTGATGAACTGATTAGCAAAGTGTTGTAAGAATGTTTTTATATTTTGTACGGTATTTACATGTATTGAAAAATTGTTTATCATATAAGTCGATTTTTTTTCATTTAAGAAGTAGTGATATTGTGACAATGTGTAAATTTAAAGATTTTAAATATAGAAGAAATTAAAGGTACAATGTACAGTTTTCTATATTGATTAAAATTTGTAATACTCGTAGTAATATTATAATATCAAAAAACATTTATCAATTGTAATTATATAATCTCAATTTTTATTTGTAATGTATACGAGTAACTGTAACTTCAGAGTATTCTTACTGGAAACCATTATTTGAATCGGTGGTAAACATTGTAAAATCCTTATAGAATAGTTTTCTTTGAATTCAAAAGTTTTTATTCGTAAAAGCGTACATAAACATCAAAAGAATGCCTATTTCCCTAACGTTAAAGTAAAAAGTTCCAACTTTTACTAATTTTCTTTGTTTTAATACAAGCCTCTGAAAGTATTTGAATAAAAGTGAGCAAAGAAATTACGACTCTAAGAAAGCGTCAAACATCAGGCAGTGTTAATGAATTAAAAATGTTACCACCACAAAATTTTATAAAATATAATAAATATATCTTGTTATATAAATCATTTTGTACTTTTGTATCGTTTTGAAGAATATAAATCTCTTTACTAAATTGTTTTTTCTTTGCTCCGACAATTTCGTAGCGAATTTCCCGTTGAATTACTTATTCAGAAGCTATTGGTTAATTGTTGGCATTAGGTATTCATTAATTATTCATGTATAGCAAATTGTGTTTACGTATTGGCTAACTTCGAAGATCTTTTTACTAAGAGTTTTATATTCAACATTTCTTTCGACTGCTATATTATGAATGGATTTATTTATAAATAAGTAGTTTATGTAAATATGCAGTTTATATATACTACAATCTTTATATTAGAGTAGGCAGACACTATCCTCTGCAAACTTAAAAGCAATTCAATCCATTTTCATGTACCCCAAGCATCTCATCATTCCATTTGTGCCTCCCTTCCGAAAAACACGTTTTTGCCAAAACTCACCATTGTCCAGATTTAGCATTCTGATAAACGAACTGGGTCTGGATATCCATAGTTGCTCAACTTTAATATCGATTTTCCTTTAGTTTTTATAATTAAATTCATTTTTATGTCGTATATGTTATGTTTGCTTATAAGTGCTTCTCACATTAAATATTATATTTTATTTTTCTTATGTACCAAATTTTTGTAAATAAATAAATAGAAGCCATACAAGGTACCTTTTAGAATTTTTGCTTTCTGTTTATACGTTTATATGCCGTTATGCAATGGGTAAAAATAAGTAATTTTAAGATAAAATTTCCATTACGTACTACTATCTGGAGCAGATTCTTTGTTAAGGCAACAGTTAAGTTTTGCCAGCGGAGCGAGCGTAGTTTTTAAGTAATAAGATTTAACCCAATAAACGAATTAAATTAAACATTGGATTTCCGTCGTAAATAAAGTATATCAGTTTAGCCAGTATCTTTTGAAGTGAAACTTCTTTAGGCGCATGAGTGTACAATTTTTACGGATGAAACGGATAAACATTATTATATTAGCGTCACGAAGATATGCAGCGTTTTTGTTGAAGAAAAGGGAGAGAGCGATTGAGACTGATTGAGAGAGAGCAAGAAGGGCGAATTACCTTATAGAAATATCCTTTTTCCCTCTCTCTAAGACTAGAAAATCTAAAATGTTATATTGTATAAATTGTACAAGACTTAAAAATTAGTTTTCCATGGAAGTTTCACTTCTGACACGTGTACTTTGTACGCACGCACATTTTTTAAATTATATTTTTATTTATGTATACCGACGGCGGAAGGAACCTTATTTCATACCTTTGATACAAATAACCTTTCTCTAAAAGATTTCATAGAAGCGAATTTTATACTGTGGAAGATATTTCATTAAAAGCATTAAAATCAATTGTTTTTACGATACAATCCCTTTCAGTCTTGCTGTATCTGACAATTATGGTCATGGGCCAAGCATATGCGCGTATATCTGTAATGTATGCGCATGACAAGATATCCGATATGATAGCTGAACAGTGCATCAATGAAATGTACCCTAAAAGCCGGAAGATGGAGTATCAGGAATCTGACGAGCCTTGCATCATTTATTGCGTGCTGAAGAAGTTCGGTATTATGAACGTGAATGGGCAGATCAATTTGGACATTTATAGGTATCTTTTTTTTTGGTTTTCTATTATCTATTGCTTTCAGTTAAAGCCCATAGACTAGATTAAAATATTGGAAAATATAGGTGGTAATTCTTCAACCTATTTGAATTTAAAACCTGGCAAAGATATGTATGATATGCCTACCATATATCACAATACAGCCCTATCTATAGACTCTTCTGATGATAAGATGATAAGTGGTCCTATGGACATGTACATTTGAATGCCTTGGTTGGGATAGATTAAGGAATTAATGTCTATGATAATAATCTATTATATAAAATTCTCGTGGCACAATGTTCGTTCCCATACTCCTCCGAAACGTCTCGACCGATTCATATGATTTTTTATATATATTCAGTAAGTCTGAGAATCGGCTGCTACCTATCTTTCAAACTCCTAAATGATAAGGAGTGTCCACCACAAAAAAAAATATTTTTTAGACAATTTTTTTCAAAAAAAAATGTTTTTTTACGATAATTTTCATTTACTCTCTTCGATCAACCCCTATTTTTTATTTGTTAGTTAAGAACTTATAACTTGAACTCTGCGGTTTATATAGAGAAAAAACTAAAAAGTTTTCATTCCGGAAAACTGAACAGTTTCTGGGGTAGCATAGCAAAATGTTCCATGTTGGTATGTACTAAAAAGGTAGGCTAATTATAATCACATTAAGGAGAAACAAAGTTCGGGGGACAGCCAGTATAATATAAAAGTTTGACAAATGCAGACACATAGTCGGTTTGAATCATAAAAATATGTATAAGTTAAGTGTTAAAATTTAAATGCCATTATAAATTATAGTTCAAGACATGTGTTAACATACGACACGTCCCCAATTACGTAACGTTATTAGTATTAATGTTATGGTAATGTCATTTTGTCGGATCGAAGCCATAATGTAATAAAATTAATGTACCGTATACTGATTAGGTATTAAAGCTCAGTCAACATTAATATGCATAAAACGTGAACCGGAGATGGTTTCTACTTGCTACGATCATGACACAGCCTCATTAACATTCCATACACGTCGGTTGAGTTAGAATATAAGTAATCACATAAATTAGAATTTTCCTTTAAAGTGTATCGAAAATAAAGGCCATCTTCGTTTTTTATTCTTTATCAATAAGTGATCGTGGTTCAATTTATATTTGAGTGTTGTATTTAAAATGAGTTTCATCATCGAACAGAGTATCCAGATAGTAGTAAGTATCACTTCGACGTCCGTCGTTCTTCATCTGAGAGTTTTTAAGGCAGTTTATTCCGCGCACCACCACTATGTAGAACCAGCTGCCCACCGATGTATTTCCGAACCAATTCGGCTTAGGGTACTTTAATAAAAGAGCGTACCAATTCTTAAAAGACCGGCAACGCACTTGCAAGGCCTCTGGAAAAGTGAGTGTATATGGGAGTGGTATCACTTAACAACAGGCGAGCCTCCTGCGCCTGCCCCTGTAACATTAAAACAAAATAATCTTTATAACTAGTAAAATATTGTACTCAGATAAGCGAATCATCGATTCGAATAATATTTTGAAACTGATAAATGTAAACACATATTACCTCAAAACAAAACAGCAATTAAGGAAAAAAATCGTGTTTTCTAAGTATCGGTTAATTTAATAACTGGATGCACTTCGACATATGGCATAATATGTCTTACCGTATCAACCAACTTTTAAAAAACAATGTTGTAAAATCTTTATATATTACTCACTCTGCAGCCGCAATAAGTGAAAGATTCAAGGCCTATGAGACAAGAGAACATCATCTTCATCGATCTTGAGCTGCTGCTTTTCAATTTGAACTGCAAATTCCTCTCTACGGCGTCATTACAGTGAGATTGCTTGCCATTCTGTAACTCACTTTTCGAACACTCACAGCGGTTTTCGCAGTGGCGGTCGCGCTCATAAAGTGAGTTACAGAATCGCAAGGCAGGGCAGTCGACGACCGTAATAATGACGTTAATATAACCTAAATTTATTAAGGCTTTTCCTCTTCCTGCTGTATTTCAGAGTCTAATTAGGGAACATTTCTAAGAGTTTTGTATTTTCAGGAAGCGGGTTCAGTTGGCTCATCAGTTAGACAATAGGACAGTAATGAGTGACAACGGCAGCTCTTGCGTGGAGAGCGCTGAGGCGACCCAACATAAGCAGGACGTGTGCAAGAAGGCAAAAGTTTTTAATGACTGCACACATCTCTACCGGATTTTGTTCAAATAGCGAAATGTTTTAATGAGTGTGTGTAGATAATAAATAAATAAATATCAACACTTTTATGATTATCCCAATACACTTTGTCTAGGTTGTCAATCAAAACATGAGGCATCTTCTCTTTTATATGAAACAATGCTTCTATACCTACATTATAATTACAGGTAAATGAGTGTATTTTGTTTGTTTTACAACTAAAATTTTGAGATAATATTTTGGTCATAACAAGGGAGTGGTTAGTTTTCAATTGTAAAAAGATTTATTACCTTTATTTATGTGTACGAAACCTTTCAAATAAAAAAATTGTGTCGACCAAACCCGAAATTTGAACTCGGACCCATGTCGGAACCAGCATGAGCTGGCTGGGTAATAATGACGAGAATATTGCGTAAAACACGAAAAAGTATAATAAAATTAACATTATAATGAAAAAACAACATTAAAACAAGACAATGAATAAATGTAAATATAAAGGAAAGCTTTACCATTGCGACAATGTCCAATACGAATGGAAGGACTTCAAAGCCGTACTGATGGTCTTAAAATATCCTGTAAAATAAAAATCTCGACTTCAAACGGCAGCTCGTTACCGTGTGTACGGTTTCAAAGGCAGTAATTGCACGTAAAGTGAGAACGCCTTCCTATAAATAAATCTAAAATATCGCTCTCGAGAGATTATATTTTTATCTCTGTCGTATATGATTTTTTTTGGAAAAGGAAATAACATTTATCTTGATCAAAATTAGTTATAATGATATAAACACGGGCATTTTTTACGGTTTAGGATTAGGACGATCCACCAATTATTTTTATTTGTGTTTCTTCTTGGTGACCATGAGTCTAGTAAAATAACAATGGAATAAAGAAGCTTTTGTTTGTGATCAGATTAGTAACATCCTAATATTAATTGGAATAAATAGAACTATAAAGAAATAGTCTCTTATAGAATACAATATATTACGTCAATAACAAAACATTAACTAACAATTATTTGAATGATTTCATATATGAAACTGCAGTTGTTTTAATAATTAAAGAGTGAAACCAATCAATAATTAAAACTATAATTTAAAGATATTAGAAATGAAGTATTATAATAATATTTGTGATATTTGTGACCAATTTGTGCTTCACCGTCACATTTATTTTAATAATTAAAAAAAATTAAGGTTTAAGTTTGATTAACTTCATACTTTTATACATTATTTAAACGTGTTATATTTTTAAACGTGCTTTCATGATATCGTTAACGAACATTCATTCAAAAATTCGTTCTTCATTTAAAAATACAGCCTCCACGACATACTGATTAAGTTACATGGCGTATTCGCTGAATGTTAAACATAAATTCTAACATAAATTTTATATAAAAAGCAATTATACTATAGATATAGCTAGATAAAATACCTAATATATACGAAAAGGTTCAAACATTTTTAATTAGATTAAGAAATAAAATAAAAAAAGGGTGCGTGTACTTATGTACGCGCGTAAGAAGTTATACTTCTTTGGCATTATTAAAAATAGTTTGGCTTTGTTCCACCTCCAGTTTTTAATGTTTCACAGCGATAAGATGACAACTCTTTTTTTGTATTCAATTTAGTGCACTTACACTGATTCATCAATTGTTTTTTGTCTCTTGTCCTTATATTTGCTAGAGAAAAATTACATGTTTTGATTAAACAATGTGGTAATTTTTTTAATCAAAACATTACTCGATAATAATAATACAAACAGATAGTTAACCTCAATTGTAATGAAGCACTTAGGAAGGTTGATGAGCACAGTTTTTTCACAAATATTAATTAGTATTGGTTTAAATATTCAATTTAAATCACTTCTTATTATATATAATTCAAAAAGCATTGCTAAATTTCTTTGAAAAAATAATTAAAACTCCTTTATTTGTTTAAAAGGTAAATGACAAATGTCATTATGGTCATTCAAAATTCTTGGCATACGAACTTCACGCATATTCTATTTCTTTTTACTTGTAGATTGTCTTATTCCTATCTCGCTCGCGCACGCTATTTTGTGTCACAGATGCGCGCGCATCGTAAAATTTCACTCTCATAAATTTTTCATAACGCGCCTAAAGAAGTATAACTTCAAAAATAAAAAATATTGAAAACATTTAACTAAGATTAGGTATTAACCTAAATCGGCTGTGTTGTATGCAGGTGTGAAAGTGAGGGAATGTGTTTCTTCGATTCCAGCTATTACAATAATTGTCCGAAGATAGAAGAGTGACCACTTTAAATTTAATTGGGTGACACACCTATACTATATGTGTGACTATAATATATGTGAGACTCAATTATTTACGTGACAACGTCTTATAATTCGATGGATCCGGCTGCACGCACGTTCCATTTAACGCTTGAAATGCAAGCGAGAGCGCGGAACGAGCGACAAAGAGGCACAATCGGCCTCCGCGTTCTTTATTTTATGTAAAGTATATTTTCTATTATATCGATTATATTGTAATCGATCAATTCAATTGTGATTTCCATTTACCTCCTTCTCTATATCCATACAAAATATCTATCAAACAAATAAAATTAAAATTTTCTTTTGAAAAATGCAACCATTCCATCAGTATTTTCTTATGATGTTTTGACGTTCAACAGTCAGTAAACCGACTATACAGACAACCGATTTTTTATTCATGTAAAAAATGTCTATCTAAAATATGTATAGAAAATATTTCAATTTCTGGATACACGAGTATGTAGCACAAATATGCCCAAAGCAGCGATGCCATGTCAGGTGAAAAATATGTTTTCGCTTCAGTTCATATGCACGGGTTAACTTCATTGCACCGACACTTCAAAGAATTATTTCAAGAATGTTCCTTGATATTCTGCAAGTTCCTAAGATTCCGTGAAATAAGTTTTATATAACTTTCTTTTGGTCTTGTTAAATTCACAGAATAGTCATAATATAAAACTTTAGAAGATTGATTTTAAAACTCGATTAAAGGTTGCATTTAGGGCTGTTTACAGTGCTTTGTCAGTTTACACTTAAGGTAAAATTTAGAGACGAGCCTTAGTGCTAAGACTAACTTCGGTACATCAAAATTGTATTTGATTTTGATATACAGGAGTCACAGTTCTTGAATTCACGAACTGATTGTGCTAGAAAGGACGATAACATGTTTCCCATACAGAATACTAATCACAATTTAAGATAAATTAACAATATATATGCGTACTAACCAAGAGGATTACTAGATAGAGGAGTATCATTATAGAAACAATATCATAATGATAGTGCTTAGCAACTTAAGAGTGACTTCCGACTTTCATTTTCCAAACGGGCATGACATCTAATGATAAGTGATAGATTAGATTCTACGTAGTCGGTCCCAAAGTTCTGTCATAAATGGAAATAATGATAAAAACAAAAGTACTGATCAGTTTGTAATGAGTGATATATCAATTCTTATTACATTAATTAAGGAATAAAAAAAGCATAAAAATATTCGAAATAACCTCCCTCATTTTTAATACAGGCCCTTAAGCGTCGCGGCCAGTCGTCTATCGCAGCACGCACCATATTCGTGTCGATTTCAGTCACTGGTTTTTATAAAGATGACTTCAGATTCTCCAAATTTTCATGAGGTTTATCACAGACCTTCCTCTCTAAGCCCTGTCATAATTTCTGGTCCAAAGGATTAAGGTCCGGACTGGAGGAAGGCCAATCCTCATGTCTAATTAAGACGATGTTTTGACGCTCAAACCAGGCTTTAGTGGTCTTGGCTTTGTATGCAGACGCAGAGTCCTGCTGGAACACGAAGTGATCTCCCGCAAATAGGGTGCTGGACATGTCTTTGACAAGGCGATACAAAACCGTCTCTTGGTACACTGTAGCACTGGTTTTGACCCCCTTTTCGAAAAAATTAACCTCAGTTAGCCCGTAATAGGACACTCCCAACCAAACCATTACTGATGATGGATGATGTCCATGTTGCACCCTTGGAACTTTATTTTCAGCTTCTTCAGAACTCCTAGCGTACACTGTATAATTCTGTTTATTGTACTTCTCTTCAATATCGAAAAATTTTTCGTCCGTAAAGAGGATATCACGGTGTCGGTTTTTCGCGTACCGCTTAAACAACACCCGCGATCTCTTAAGCCTTATTGCTTTTAGACGAGCATTAAGTAAGTGCCCACTCTTTTTTTGTATGCTCGTAGACCAAGATCTTCATTTAAAACCTTTTTTACTGTTTTCCTACTGACACCCATCTGCAAATCCATCAACTTCTGTTTTCGGACAGGATTTCTTACTATCCGCGCCTTGATAGCTTTGATTACTGCTGGTGTTCTTGCGGAGCGTGGCCAGCCAGTTCTTTTCTTGTCCTCAACACTGGAGACTTCAAGGTACCTATCAATAGTACCGTACACGAACCTAAGCGTTATATTCAAATTTTTGAGCAACTTGAAAATGGTACTCGGCGAGTGTCCACAGCGGTGCAACGCAATAACAACTATTCGGTTTACTTTCAATGTCCACTCCATCGTGAAAAATTACGGAAAGTTATTGTTTTTTGTTTTAAAACAATAATCAAACATTCCAAAATAGAATGCAATAATTTTTTTATAAAATCCTGCTCGAAATGTAGAAATAATGTGCTAGTGACAGAACTTTGGGACCAACTACGTATAAATGCCAGAGGGCTAAAGAGTGTCTTGCCAGACTTTATTTTAATTGATATTCGCATAATTCTTGAATACCTGAACAGACCGTTACTAAATTATTTTCTTATGTATTTATTTAGTACAGAAATACATACATTTTCCTTACAGACTATGCTAATACGATAATGTCGAGAAAAATAAAATAAAATATATAATATTAAACACTTATATACACAATATCGCTGTGAATTCACTCTGCGACCATATAAATATATCAATACTGTCGGAGACAGCATTCAGTAGGCGCAACGTCATGGATAACGGGGACCTGTGCAACAGACTGGTTCTGGCCCTTGTTCCATTTTATAT